ATTTTATAGAAAATGTTTTTGGGAAAAGGAAACCCCTTTTCGAATAACAAATTAGACATTTCCTTGAAAGATAGATTAAGGATTTAATTTTTGGATGGGGTTAACCAATGTAAATTTTGAATTATTTGATATTACTTGGCTCATTTCTTAATAAATTATTGGTAATTTCCTTAGGCATCTAAGAGGAATGAAGATATTTTTTATTGTGGAGTATGGGAGCGTATGATTATTTTTATTTATTAAATTCAGGGTAAGGAGGGTCGTATGATTTATTTTCCTTTCAAAATAAATTATACGTAAAATTGAAAATAATGTGTAATTTATGGGTGTGGAAGTTTAACAACATTTTCATGGTTTATTAGAAGCTTGGGGTTGGAAAAATTTGTAGAGTATAAAAATGTGCCGAGTCCTGATGTTATAGAAAAATATTTTTCCAAAAGTTATCAAAACTTTAGCTTTTGTTAACATAGACCAAAACTTTTATAAGAATATTTTTCCGATTATTGTATTTGAGAGTCCCGTTTTTTTAGAAAAATATTTTTCTATGGATTAGCAGAAATAATAGTGGCTAGGAATTTAAAAAAAATCAGGGCATACAAATTCTATGACTTTTTAAAAAATCTAAATATTATTTAAAAATATTTTCCAACATTCCAAGGGTTTCCAACATTTTTAAGGGTTATTAAAGGCAGTGATTTTTTCGAGTATCGGGCTGTGTGTCGTATAATTATTATTATTTAGCAGGTGTTTGGTGGCGTATAATTATTTATCTCAGAGAAATAAAGTATACGTCCCATATACCAAATGTGTGTGTGTGCACATTTTCAGCCCATCTCTCAAGCTATGTCAAAACAATGACTTAAATTTTCTGCCAAAACCCACCAAAAACCCGGTTTGCCCGGAATACAGCTACATTGGAAATTGGCTAAAGAACATAAAAATATCTTAATTTTGGTGGAATCTTTATATCAGTGCTGGACCTTTATATCGATGCTGGATCTTTATATCGGTGCCATAAAAAAACCTATAATGAAATATTGTCTTTCAAGAACTTTTTTATTCACAAAGAACCTTAAAACCCCAAATTAGCGCATATTAGTTCGAATCTTGGAAATAGACTATAGAAATATTCTGTAAATAATTATTTGCTCACCAGTAATCTCCAATGACAAATTACCGCTTCTTTATTTGAAAATTATTTTCATTACAAATTGAAAATTACTTTTCGGGATATTTCACTTCAATACATTTTTTACTGAGATTTGTAAAAATATGACAACCTCATGATTTTCATGCATAAATAAAAAAATTCCCCATTTTCGAAACAAATCTGCAAACCTTGAAATTGTTTAAAGCTTTAACAAAAATTCCCATTAATTTTGTTCATCTTTTCAATTTAGCAACAATTTTTCATCATTGTTTCGCATTTAAAATAAAAAACCAAAAAAGAAAAAACAACATGAAGACAAATATTACGCTAGAGAATAGCTACCCGCAAAAAAATACAAAAATCCCTTGGCCACTATGTATTTCAATACCTCCAAGTGTTGTTGTTATTTCATATTTTTTCTCTTTCTTCTTTTGTCCACTAAAGTTATGAAGCGAGTGAACGAACATCCGCATCCGTTTAAAGTGTTGTTGGCTGTTCAGAAAAAAAAATAAATAAAAGAACAAAAAAAAAGCACCAGCAACGCTTGTTGCTGATAACCAACCAAAAATACAAAAAACTACAGTGCAAGTGAATGTATAACAAACATTTGTGTGAGTGCCTACGTGTGTGTGTTTGTATTTTTTTTATAAATATAGTCGTTGTTATCCAGGCACCATCAGGCATCAAAATGAACAGAATATGAATAAAACAGAAAGGACAACAAGCATAGACCTATACTACACAGCGCGCGCACACACACACAAACATACATGTACATCCATACGCACTCTTCGGCCACCCCTCACATTTGTTCATATCATATCATCATTTTGTAGGCCTACTTTATAGTCAACATTTAAAGCGAGCTGCTGTTTCAAGTACTCAACAGCCGTGATGTTAACGAATGAACAGCAAAAACAACACCAACGACAACAACATATCGCACAGGCTCGGCGACCTAGTTTATATTGAAAGTATTTCCTTCGTGTCATATTCGTAACTTCATGTTTACATACACGCAGGTATAACTATGTGTGCGTATACATTTCAACCTCACACACACACACACATACACATGCAATAAATTTTATGTTAGGCCTTTAAATATTTAAACTACATGAGAAAACGAAGAAGAAGCAGGACGCGAAAAAACAACAGCAGCATCCTTCAGGACCAACATCATAATTCTATATGTTAAAAAAATACCTGTTGGAAAAACATTTGAAATTCAAACTCCACAAAATTTTATTATCTCATTCATAATGTTTTGGAGACTTGCTCTTGTTACACTTTCTCTCTCTCTCCCTCACTCTCTATTTATTGCTCTTTAATGGAAAATCACCAATGTTCTGGCCAGCGCATGCCTTGGAAAAGCTACAAGTTATTCAATGTTGTTATTGTTGTCTTACCTTCTTCCTTTTTTTTCGTAAACGAAGCAACAGTCTAGCATTTACTCTCACTTAGAGAGCCACTGAAAAAGAGAGACTCATGATGCTGCTGTTGCCGATGATGATATTCTTATCAGACTTCCCATTGGTGGCGTCCTTTCGCACATTTTTTTACATCAGGTGGCCGCCAACAGACGTGATGGTTGTTGTTGGTGTTATAATGGTGATGCTGTTGCTGCTGCCACGTCTAGTAACCTACCCGTTGCACATTAATTATTGATGATAGTTGAAGAACAAAAAACAAATACAGAACAAAAGCAGCAACATTCCACTCCACAATGAAGGAACAATAACATTGCAATTATTGTTGTTGTTGCTATTCGTTCACATTCCTTTTTTTGCCTCGTTCACTCGCCACAGTTCGGCTAGTTGCTGGCATCGTTTGCAAAAGTAAGGTTAACATTGATTTCCAACTTTAATAGAACAATGCCAGTATTTAGCAAAGAAATTAAATATTAGGGTGCTTCAGTTTGATACTCTTCATCATAAGTTGTTTTTAATACCTAGACTTTAGCCGATAATTTTTCAACAGAACTGGCATTAATTTGGCATTCCGGGTAACTGGAGGGCAACTAATATCTTAGTAATAAATGTTCTATATAGATCTTTGACACAAAGCTCCAATATAAAGGTCCCACATTGTTAAATATATTTTGATGTTCCAGGCGCATTTCAAACCAAATGGCTAAAATTTGTCATTTCGAGTTCTTGGAGCAATATAATGGTTCCTCTTCTCAATAATGTTCCCGTCCCTTGTTAAGTATATTGATGATCCTATACACACTTTCCTGCAAAGAGGCTGTAATTTGGCATCTGTAATTTGGCGCATTTTCCTAACGGAAGTGACTGTAATTTAGTATTCTGTTCTCTTAAAATGTTCTATATGGGCCTATTTTTAACCGGAAGTCAATTTTCATGCCACTTTGATTCTGAAAATGTTCTCTAAAGCCTCCTTTCGGCCCATCAATAAAATAACTCACTTTATTAAACAAATATTCCTAGGGGTTGCCTTCAGCTCGTTTACAAAAACTCCCTTCATTCCGTCTATAAACTGACTACCCTCAGATCATCGATATAATAATCCCTCCAGTTTGGTTAAAACCTTCCATACAGCCAATCGTGGCTGCCTTCAGAGCGTCCATAACTGTATCTTTCACCTCATTCATTTCTTGCCGTTTTCTATAGAGGCTTCCTGTTGCGTATAAAATTATTTTCGACACCTTTGCTGGTCTTTAAATATTACGTTTAGTTAGGCTATTAAAACTCATATCTGTCCGACTATAATCCCCATCACTCCCTCTCCATAAAATCGTCTGTAAAGACTTCTTCCGATTTGTCAATAAAAACTCCCTCTACTGACCAAAAAATTCGATCTGCTTCGTCTACAAAGACTACCTTCAGCTTATATAAAAATGTTTTCAGGCCGTCTGTAGGGACTACCATTAGATCGCCAAAAAAATACTTTCAGAAACACTCCATACAGCCAATCAATAATGGCTGTCTTCCGAGCGGCCATATTAAAACTCATGGCAGCCCGTCTCTAATCCCCATATCTCCCTCCCCATCAAATCATCTTTAAAAACATCTGTTTTTCAATAAAAACATCCTCTACTGACTAAAAAATATAAATACTCTCTTCAGCTCGTCTATAAGACCCCCCTTCAGTTCGACTTTAAAGACACCCTTCAACTCATATTTACGGACTCCATTTAGCTTGTCAAAAAGTAACCTCATCAGATCGACAATATGTACTATTTTAGTTCCTCTATAAACAGTTTAGTCAGCTGTGTTATTAAGTCTCCCTTATACACCAACAGATCAAATCGGCAATATCTACCCTTTTTCAGGTCTTCTATAAACATTTCCGTCTGTTTGTTTATTGAAACTCCTCTCTATCCATCTATTAAAACTGTATAAAGCTCGTCTGTAAAGACTTCCTTCAGCTGGCCTGTAAATGCACCATCATATTTCTTTCAGATATTCTCCGAAGATTCCCTTTATATTGCCTATAAAGGCCCTATTCAATTATTCCCTAAAGAATCAATTTCCCACTTACTTACCCATCCACCCTAATACGCTTCCACCTTCAAAAACAATAATGAATTAAAAAAGCACACACACACATACATGTATATTATTATTTTGACCATACATCGTGTCAAGGTACAAGGATAAATATATACAACAACAACAATTATACATATATTAACACGTGCATATGTAAACGTTTTACTAGGCGTTTTATGTATCTCACATACACACAGCCGAACAAAATTCCGCTACAAACGCTTTCAAAACCTTGTGAAGTAAAACGTCCACTTACTCTTGTACAAACATGGATGGATGGATGGACATGAGGTAAATACAAAGAAGTAGAAATGTTGAAAAAAATAATTATTCAATTAATATTTTAATAGCAATGCAACAAACAGTGGCAACATGGAGGCTACATAGGCCACACGATTGACTCCATTTAGTTTAGCTGAAGTTACAGCATTTGTTGTGGAATTTGATGGTGGATATGGCACATAAGGTACAGGCTCATCAAGGTTATGAGTATTTTGCACATAGCTATAGTAATTTGCCCAGATACCAAAGGTGAGCAGATCTTGTTGAGGGGAAGTTAGATCCATTTCAATACGGATTGTTTGATTACTTTAAACAAAAGAAGTCGAATTGTAATTGTAATTTTCAAATTATTATTTCAATCACTTACCCCTCCACCTCCAACCAATCAAAGCTATCCACATTCAAAGGCATCATCACAGCATTAACCGTGCTGGGCATTATAACACTCCTATCCGACTTGACAAAATCTCCCGTAACATTAATCCGATTAAAATAGTATTTATTTCCCACGGCAACATTTTCGGGGAAAATATAACCACAGGTATATAGTTCCTCACCGGTACAACTAATCACGGCACACACACTTTGATTGCTATTATCGACTCGCTGGAATGTTGTCTCATCGCCGCTGTAGGCAGCCAAACGATAACGATAGGCTTCGTGATATGGAGAATCCTGCACCAGCTTACGTTCAATATCGAAATAACAACAGAAATCATTGTGACATAGCTGCTCATTGACGCTGATAAACGTTTCATCCAATAATTTTGTTGTGAAAATATCCACATTATAATCACGCAACAGAGACATTTTTGTAAAACGTGGGGTCTCCAATTGTGGACTGAATAGGGGTTTAACTGTGGTGGGTAATTGGTATGTGCCTTGGAAATTACGTTTGGGAACTTGGGCTGTAAGTAACTTGGTTGTTGGTTCTTCATGTATAACACCAGTTAGGCGACCCAAACGTCCAGCATATATACCAGAACCAGTGTTTTGTCCTTGTGGATAGCTGGCATCGGCTGCTAGGAGATTAACGTTGTTGCCAAACGACCAACCCTGTTGAAGTTGAACGGCTGTAAGGGAAAGGAGAAATTATACCAAATCAATTCTAATCTAAGGGAGTTGACAATGTTTTTTTGTATACAAAAACCCTATTTGGGTCGAGTATAAATAATCGATTTTAATGGCAATTTATTTACTGGCCTGGAAATTCCGCTTTCTTTAAGGGCTAAGCAGAATGCTCGCGTTGAGTCATCCGTCGCGTTATGTATTATCGAAAATACAACAACCACAAGCGCTGCGCTTCGGAGTTAAATATATTTTAACTTTTCGCGTGCGTTAACGCGATACAAAAACGCTCAACGCGAACATTCTGTTTAGCCCTTTACTCTTCCACAAATATTCAAAATCGTTTGTCTTTTAATCGATAAGGGTTCAGACTTTTTATTTCAGTCAATAATAAATTCCTTCAGACCGTCTAAAGTCACCCCAGCTTGTTTGCAAATATTCCATTTATTTCATCTATAAAGACTTCTATTATATCACCTATAAAACGTTTTCCATATCCTTTATAAAAATTCCGTTCAGCCTGTCTTTTAAGATCATGTTCTCATATTAAGACTCCTTACTCTTTCTCTAATAAGATCCCATACGTCTTCTCTATTCCATACATTTCGCATATGAAGACTACCCTCAGATCGTCTATGAAAGCCTTCTCCATCTTGTCCATGAAAGTTCCCTTCATTCATATTTCATTCCCTGGCTATTTATATTTAGTCCCTATACATATTACTGTTTCCATAAAATTATCCAGCTTGTTAAATAATACTCCATTCATCTTTTGTGTAAAGATCATATCCTAAAATTCCCTTCAGCATTTCTATTAAGACTCTATACTGTCCCTCTAATAAAAACACTGTTCCTCCTTTAAGACTGTGTGCAGCCTGTCTATAAAATCTACAAATTTCCCCTGCAAATCGACTATAAGTACAATTTCCCACTTACCCGTTAAAAATGGCAATTCCGAAAACCAATATGTCGGATATATAATATCCGTGATATTCAACTGATCGATCAGCATCTGAGCCGGTTTATAGAACAGCATATCAAAACATATAAAATGACCAAAGGTTACACCAAAATCTGTTGTAAATGTTGCCAATTCAGGTTCGGCTAAAACATTCGTTGAACGCCATTCATAACGATACAAATGGGTTTTACGATAACGTGATATAACACGGCCCTCACGATCCAATACAACATTTGTATTGTAGATTTTCAAGCCGTTTTTACAATCCGTATCGCCAGTATTACATTTCGCCTTTTCCATAAGATTCAATACAACATACAGTTTACGACTGCGGGCAGCACATGACAATTCCGTTAAAAACCAATCGTAATTGGCCACAACACAGGGGGCAATTTTATCCTTGGGATCGGGTACATATGTCATTACATCCATATTATTTAAAACATATTCGGGAAAAACTAAAATATCCAGATCGAGGGTAGCATTCGATTCGATTATGGCTTTCATGCGTTCCATATTATCCCTTACTCGGGCTTTGGGTGAGCCCTCCATGGCGGGGGCGAATTCCACAACACCAGCATTGTAGGTGGGGTCAGTGGGCAGAGATAACTGTGAAAATAATTAAACATAAAAATTAAGTTTTTAAAAGGGTATTTTCCCCTTTCTGCCTTTATTTATCCCTCTTCATACCTCTTCAGATCCTGGCAATGAAACCCCAATTAGGCACACAAATAAAAACCACTTGACACTGTACCGCTCCATTCTGTTCGGACGTCTTCGCAATACTGCAATTTCATTGTACTTTTTGTTAGCACAATACTTTTGCTTTCAAAATTGCAACCGGCGGGGCATAATTTCCGAATAAAAAAATAAAGAAATAAAAAATCATCATATTATCTTTATGGCGTTTTAAACATCAATATATGTAAGTAAATTCATGATTTTTTTCTTTTATTATTTACCCCCATTATATTTGAGAATCTCATATAAACAAGAATATATTGTTTTTCGACAGATTGAAGTGATCTTTGTAGAGGTCTTATCAGGGATTTTATATATTACCACCTTATGTACATATCAATTATAAATGCAAAAATGCTAATAAACAAGAAAAACAGATAAACTTGCATTTTAATCAACAAGGGGCATTGTCGTCCCGGGTAATAATTATTTTTTGGTGTAAATTTTTGTGATTTATTTGTAAGAGTCTCACAGTGGATGTTCCAAATTTCTATTTATTATATACATTTTATATTTTGTTTTTCATTTTGTAATGATTCATAATGCAAATAATAAAAAGGGAACAGATAACCCTACATATATTGCCCCGGGTAATAATTATGCCATCTGTAAAATATTGAATTATTTTAAAAGAGACTATTTTTTTGTTTTTTATCTCCTTTGGTTGTTTATTAATTTCAGAAGTCGTCCTTATCAAGTATATATCCCTTTCAGTTAATTTATAAATAATTTAAACAAAAATGTTTTCTGCAACTCATTGTCGCCTTTTAATATATCCATAGATTGACTGAAGAGACTTCAATTTGGGCATATAAAAATGCTTATTTAAAGACAGTTTTGCCCTCCATAAAAAGAATTGTAATCCTAGCCTAAAAAGTCACTCGTCATGTCATCCATAAAACCGCCTTTTAATCATCTTCCGTTGGCTTTAAATAAAAAAATGCTATGATCACATATAAAATGAGTCCTAAGAGCCCTACACTGATTGTCTGTACTGTAAATTTTAAACGGAGACCAGTTTTGGCCTCCATAAAAAGAATCGTAATCCTAGCCTATAAAGTCACTCGTCATGTCATCCATAAAATCGCTTCTAATCATTTCCCTTTGACTTTAAATAAAAAAATGCTATGATCGCATATAAAATGAGTCCTAAGAATCTTATTTTGATTGTATGTACTATAAATTTTAATCGATTATGAAGACTTCATTTTCGAAAAATGTTTGGCCTTTAACTTCATATCGTTTACAAACCCTATATTCTAGTTTTATGGTCTCCTTACTGTCTCCTATAAAATATACCCCGATTATATTACAATATGAAAGATAGATAAATAATATGACACACTTGTAATCTGAATATATATATAATTCCCACTATAGTAGTCCAATAGACTGTGATAATTTTTTTGTAATCACCTTGTAATGTACACACCCATTTTCAGTTAAATGCTACCATCATTGATATATTAAAATATTTAATAATAAAGCAACAACAAAACGTCATATAAACCCGCAACAACCACTATTACTGGCTGTCAGTGCAAAACCTTCAGAGGGTGAATGCCAAATTGTTAGTACGTGTTTTACTATGTCTTCTTTAATTTTTGTTGTTGTTGTTCTTGTTGCTATTTGTTTGTTTGCAACCGGAAAGCAAGCAACAGTTCTGTATTATTTCCGCTTAAATGATTGCTTGTCTTCCGGCTATTTTCCACAGACACACACAACAACAAACATTTACTATATGTGTGTGTGAGAATGTGAAAAAACAGACAGGATATTTTTTGCTATAAAAACATGAATGAAAATCCTTGTTGTTAAAGAACACCAGCTGCAATGTCACTACCATCATATCACACAATTTTGTATACTCTCCTCATTCCTCTTCTTCCCTCCTTGCTTCCTTCTGCCCGGCAATCAAAGAAATTGTCTATTATATTATAGTCACGTAAATGTAATTTTCTCGCATGAGTTTTTCGTTTCGTTTGTTTCTGCGACAGGATGCCAATGATAATTGAAGCATATATGTTGTACAATTTTAAGTAGTGCTCAAATAAAAATCGTGTTTCTTTAAACGGAAATCTATGAAAACAACTATCTAACCATGAGTATGCAGCAACGTTTATTGAATAGCAATTTCGTATGGAGGGGGAAAAAAATCAAACAAATCTAAAATGGATTTATGATTTGTTTTTCCAACTTGTTTTAATTGAAAGGAAATATCCAAATATCGTTTTTACCTTGAAACAGTTTTTGATTTAATAAAAAAACACAATCTTTTTTTCGAAGAACTTAGTTTGTATTTCGATTTCAATTAGTATGTTATATGCAATAGCACATATACTCAAGTAACTTAAACTAATAAACAAATACAATTAAAATGTAATTTCTTCTTTTTTATCTTTTTGTAATAAAATACGAAAAAAATAAAACCTATATAAATTATTCTGTTATTGCTGTATCGTTCATATCATTTTCTACTTCCTCCAAAACCTCTTCAGCAGCCTTGGCAACATCCTCGGCTACATCTTCGGCAGCAGCCAAGGCAGCGGCAGCTTCTCTGGCTTTTTCATATTTGTTAACCTCTGTAAAATCAAATAATAAACAAATTAGTAACTGCCTGATAGCTAATCTCAAAACAACTTACCAAATTTACTAATATCAGCACCAAGTAAACGTAAAATATGCAAGGTTTCACTGCTATCAACATAGGCACGTAAACTGGAGGTACCACGCCAGCCAACAATGTGTAGGGTAAAGCGTTCATCACTATATTTCAAAATGCAACTACCCACACCTAGAAGAGATTACAAAAGAAATTATAAAAATCGTTCCCAATACTAATTTGGTCTACCCTTCAACTTACTCAATTCCTTACACCTCTGCTGGGTTGCTTCTTTCAGCTCTGTTGTCGAGGGAGGTTTTGTTGGATCTGTACAATTTAACTGTAAAATTAAATCTTCCTTTTCCACCACAATACGACGACTGGGTCCCACAAAGGCATTTGTTGTCTGTAAACCTTCCTGAGCCAAACGGAATGGATGTTGGGTATGACGATTTTCACAGCGTACAAATGATTTCACACCCGTATTGATAATTTTAATATTATTCTCGTTGAGTAATACCAAATCCCTAATTAATTCCGAACAATAGTAAATGTTTTTCTTTTTCTCGGTAATACAACGTGTCAGCAGGCAACGACTATTAAATGAATCGTCCAAGTCATAGAATTTCTTAATTTCCAACCAATCAGCATCATTCTCCTCGAAGAAAACATAAGGATCTTCTTTGTAGCCATGTAGACGTCTACGTTTGCGTTGGGGTCCCCAGGGTACAGATTTCTCTTCAATGGGCTTGCCCTCTTCATCGAGTTTTACTTCAGGTTTGGGTTTATCCACCAAATCTTTAACATCGTTTTTCTCAAATGGCAGCTGGGATTTTTTGTGTAAAACAGCTACGAAAAATCCACCAGAATTTTGTAAATGAGGTAAGACACGAATACTGTGAAAAACAAAGAAAAATATTTTAATATTTGTTTTTCGAAGAATTTTATAAATTACTTACCACTTCTCTAAACCATATTTCTCTATGTCTGGCAATGGGAACATATTTGGCCTAATAATGGTGTGATATTTTTCAGGAACTTCTTCGAAACTGCTGTAGGTTTCATCAACCTCTTTGGAAGCCAATTTCCATTTAGTCATGCCGGGTATGTATTTCAAACCAGGCACTAAATGTGAGGCATCTACAATTTCCAAAGCACCATTGGAATCGGCAATAATACGCTGCAGCACAGCCTCATTTTCAATGGGATTCAGGGAGCAGGTGGAATATACTAGACGGCCGCCAACTTCCAACATTTCAGCACCACGGCGGGTGATGCGGTATTGAACACTGCAAGAAATTTTAATATTTATTTTTTTATTCCTGAATAAAAACCATATTCAAACTTACCCATGCAAATTATAGGCTTGGCCCAAATTCCATTTTCCCCAAATATCAGGATTTTTACGTAGAGTACCATCACCGGAACAGGGTACATCACAAAGGATTTTATCAAATTTCAAAATAGATTTGCTGCCATCACTTTCAGTTTGCTGTGAAGAAACGCAGTTAATAAAATAATTCAGGAAATAAAAAATTAGTTCACAAACATACCAACAAATTCGGGAAGAATGCACTATCATGATTTGTGACAACAAAACAAGGTGAATTCAAACGTTTGGCCTGATGCACCAACATATAGCAGCGATTATTGTCCACATCATTGGCCAAAACAAAACCAGGTGGTATTTTATATTTCTCCGGTTCGGCATGCAGAGCCTCAATCAATTGGGCTGTCTTTGAGCCAGGTGCAGCACACATATCCAAAACCTTATCGGTGGGTTTAACATCCAATACAAGTGGTGGAATCATAGATACCGCCTCTTGACGACTAATGGCACCGGCATTTGTCTCATTAATAAGGAAATTATGCAGGCGATACAAAGGTTCTGATCTTCTGATATCTTTGCGGGTTAAATCCAATTGATATGCCATGCCATTGGGATACCAGGGCAAACACAATGGTTTCTCTACTTCATCTACGGATTTTCCACGTAACTCTGCCACACCTTTAATGTACTCGGTAAACAAATCTTTTTCAATTATGTCCAACAAGGCTTTGGCTTCACCCTTGAAACCTGTTACACGGAAGGTAGCCGGCAAATTATCACGTATGGAAGCCAAAAATTGCTGCCATTCCTGTTCATCGGCACATATGTTTTGCATGTGATAGTACTTGAGGAAGGCTTCATTGTCCCGTACAATTTCCTCATATGGTCCTTGGGGACGTGTGTCTTTACCTTGCTATGGAGGCAATACAATGGGTTTGGATTAGATTAGATTTACAGGATTCCGAAAAACTTATGCTTACATTTTCACGCCTTTGACGTTTTTTAGCAGCAAAAGGATTAGCTTTACCCTTACGACCCATGTTTAGAATATTTTTCACACAAAATCAAATGACAAACTGGCGGAAAATTAAAAAAAGAAAATGTTTCTCCTCCAAGACCAAACTACACAACACGTGTAGCTTACTGAATGAACCGACCTAATTTAAAGACGTTCCACACGAAACGAATATGGAGAGAAAACAGAGAACGGGCAATACAAAATGAACTCGAACCAAAATAGTCCAAAACCATATTGTTTACGAATGAGGGTAATGAGTAACACAGTACAGAGATGCATTTAATGTTATGCTGATGATGCAGGGTGGGTACCCATGGATTGCAGAATTTTTATTAATTAAATTTTTAAAACCTATTCAAAATTAAAACAATCTATTGGCCTGCATGGACAACAGTTATTATGTGTTAAAATTACTTCCAAAAAATATTATTATCCCATTATATTTCCATGTAATTGTCTTCTTGCAGTTTCACATCATTCAGCTTTCATATATCTATTTCCAAAGGCAGTCAAAAGTCAAACTATAAATCCCTAACCACTTGCAGACATTTTTCAATTTCTAGAAACCTATTTCAGTCCTTGCAAAAAGAAAATAAACAAACGAAATCATCTAAATCATGAAACAAAAAACGGACATTGACGAGGATGTCTCATCCATATGTGAATCAACGGTATGCCATAATGCAGCACCAATTTCTTCACGCATATAATCACCAATTCCATTTTTAGGCTTCCTTGACGGAGGGCTGTAGGCTATCGGTGCGTATGCACAAAACGGACGATTGGCCACTGGCTGAGATCGTTAGCATTAAGGAGCACGAAGGCAAACGACAGTTTTATGTTCATTATGTCGATTGTAAGTATTGGGCATAAGGATTCCATCACATAGTCCACTAATCACACTTCTTTGCAGTCAACAAACGTCTGGATGAATGGGTAACTGAAGAAGATTTGGACACACGCAAGGTACAATTCCCCCGGCGAGATGGTACCCAAACTGGAGCTAGTACCGGGGTGACAACACCCAAGAAATTACTTTCGGTTACAGGTAGTGCTTCGAGACCCACCTCACCACAACCCGGTGCTGGTGAAGTGGTTAATGGTAATGCCGTGTTAGCGGCAGCATTACAGAAGAAAATTAACCGTAAACGAAAGGTAGATAAAGTCGGTATTCCTGCACATCCAAATACTTCGTGTATTACTAATATTCCATGTTTATTGCAGATTATACCCACACCTTTGCCACCAGCCCCACCTGTTGTACCAGAAGCTGCTCCGCCTGCGGCGGCACCAGTTGTAGTCCCAGCCGCCGAAGAGGTTTCTCAAGATGGCAAAAGTGCCACACCACGACAATCCGGTAGTATGGTTAGCATACATCAAGACGATGTAGTAACACGTATGAAAAATATCGAAATGATAGAACTGGGTAAACATCGTATCAAACCTTGGTATTTCTCACCCTACCCTCAGGAAATCTGTCAAATGCCCTGCATTTATATCTGTGAATTTTGTCTGAAATATCGTAAAAGTCGAAAATGCCTAGAACGACATTTGGTAAAGTGTAATCTACGTCATCCGCCTGGTAATGAAATTTATCGCAAGAATACGATATCCTTCTTCGAAATTGATGGGCGCAAAAACAAAGTTTATGCCCAAAATTTATGTTTACTGGCCAAGCTATTCCTCGATCACAAAACGTTGTATTATGACACAGATCCGTTTCTGTTCTATGTAATGACAGAATACGATAGCAGAGGTTTTCATATAGTTGGTTATTTCTCCAAGGAAAAGGAAAGTACAGAAGATTACAATGTTGCCTGTATTCTGACAATGCCTCCGTATCAACGCAAGGGTTATGGCAAATTGTTAATAGAATTTAGTTATGAGTTATCGAAATTTGAAGGTAAGACAGGGTCACCGGAGAAACCTCTATCGGATTTGGGTCTGCTGTCATATCGTTCATACTGGGCTCAGACAATACTAGAGATATTTATCAGTCAAAAGCCAAATAGTGATGGAGAGAAACCCACAATAACCATAAAGTAAGGAAAAGTTTAATTTCATTTAGATTATATGTGTTACCAAATGTCTCCTCTTTTTAGTGACATATGCGAAGTGACCTCCATTAAAAAGGAAGATGTCATCTCCACGTTACAAAACCTCAACCTGATAAATTATTACAAGGGCCAGTATATTGTGTGCATAAATCGTGAAACAATAGACCAACATAAAAAAGCCATGGAGAAACGCAAAATACGCATCGACTCGAAATGCCTGCACTGGACTCCCAAAGACTGGTCGAAACGTTCAAAGTGGTAAATGTCTTGAAAACATCTTTAGAACCTAAACCTTTTCTAGACTTCTCCCTACCACCAACTCCTCCTCTGTAAAAACTCCCAATCATCCTTTCTTCTTCTTCAAACTCATTTTTCCAAAATTCATTTCATTGATTTGTAATTCTTCCATTCTCTTCATTGTTTGTAGAAAATCAATCAACGCATCTCCCTAACATTATTGTGCGCCCATATAAACCAGGCTGGCAAATGAAAAAAAAATGCTACAATTCCGCATCTAACACACTTCCTTGTAGAAAAATAAACAAATAAAAACAGAAAAATTAATTCAAACGTGTTTTTTAATTTTCCATTTCATGCATTCTATACAAATTGGGGAAATTTTCCATATCCAACTCTTCGGTGAAAAGATCTAAACTCTGATTTGTACCATTATCAAGGGCCGCTTCTGTAGATTCAATCGACGTCTGGATAGCTTTGGTGGCAATTTTCAAATCTGTAATTTCCATACGCAATTGTTTAAGATTTTCATGTTTACTTCCCGAAGACAGCAGTTTCTTGAACTTCTCCAACTCTTCCTTATCAATGTAGTCGGTGGCACTGCCACTGTTAAGTTTATCCTTAATGTTGCGGGCATCTTCCATGGCCTTTGCAAGATTCATATTTTCCCCCAAGCAATGTTCCTTTAGCACACGACGAGTGCCAGCCTTTTTCAGTAGTTCCACATAGCGTGAATACAAATGGGTATATTCGTGACGTCTTTTCTGATAGATTTTGTAGGATTCTTCGATTTTTTGCATTACAGCATTTTCATTGTCCGTCTTGCGTTTCAAGGCATCCAGATAGAGTAACATGTTGATGTCATCCAAATTATGGTGCTGTTGAGCAGCTGTGACGGATGTCTGCAATTGGCTGGTATTAGGTTTGCTTTTGGTTGGAGTTGATGGAGTAACGAAAGACATTTTTAAGGTTTTTTTAATTAAATCTAATTCCAAAGACTCTTCTGCGCGCCTTTTGATTTTTTCTGAATAAACCGACCTAATTTAAAAACGTTCCACTTGCAACGAATAGAGGGAGCGAGGAGATAATGGGTGATAAATTAAAAAATGGCCGTTATATGTTTTGTTTACGAATGAAGATGATGTATAACACCAATATCATCGTTTTGTTTAGAAAATGACATAAAGGGATGGAAATTGTTCGAAGGGAAGTAAGTGACTAGATAGAGGCCATTGAGTGCGCCATTTACTGATCATTTCGGGCGCTGTACATTATTGTGAATTGTCACTGTTTACGAGGTTAGGTGTACAAAAGCTATTTGCTATGAAAAATGTATTTAAATAGAATTAGTAAGGAACGTAACGTAGAGGTGCTACGAATGGATTTTTTCTAAATTCAGGTTATTTCTTTGTGGAACTCCATACATACTAAGAAATGAGTTTCCAAAATTCCATTGGGACCACGGGTTTCATCAATGGATCTTATTGGTTTTTAATTAAACGTTAACAATGTGGTTAACATTTTGATCTATGCATTTTCATTTAAAATAAAATTATATTGCGTAGCTGGTATTATGCGCAGCGGAATTTTAGAGCAGCGTCTAAGAGCCAGTGATCCTTTGGATTGACGAGGCGATCATAAACCTGTAATCATGTACATCTATATGAAGCCTTGTATTAACTTTTGTAACTAGTCTTTGCCACAACCGAGATAAGGCAATTACTGTCGACAATCACGCAAAAACCATAGCCTATGGCAATAAAACCCTGAAGATTCTTCCTCACGCTTTCAAAATTTTTGGAATACAGGCCATATAAAATACAATTATATCTTCGTAGCCCAATTTTCTGTCCATAGGCATTCTCCCAAAGACCACAATTAAACCTCTGGCATGCCTCAACCCCAAATAACTTATCATCGACTTCTTTACGTATATTAAAATATAATTAAAATCAAATGTATTTAATAAAAATGAAATCTATGAAAATTATAAATTAAACATATTTTTGTTATGAAGACGAACTACGCTACACAGAAACAAAAAACAAATAAATAAAATAAAGGTTGAGAAAAATGAAATCATTACTTCTAGAAATCACCAAAATCTGGCAATTCATCCATCATGCAAGGTGAAAAATTCATCAAGGAAGGTGGAGTTATCATCTCTTCAATATCCACATCTTTAGCGAGATAATTAAAACATTTCGAATTGTCGAAATCAAGAAGATCTTCACAACCCGAATCATCTGAATCGAAATCTTTGAATGTTTCATTAGTACGACGAACTTCCTCCTCATCCTCCGTATCGGCATAGGCACCTTTTATTAGATTGTCCATCATGGAATCATCGAAAATGTTATCATACCAAATTTCACGATCACCTTTGAAAAACAAACAATAAAAAATTAGATCTATATCAGAGAAAAAAGTATACAAAACCATACTCACTTTTGTAGGGTTTAGCACAACATTTGGGAGCAAAATCAAAATATTCCAACAACTCCAATTCAGCGTCATTGCATTGTGCAGCTTTGGATGTTACTTTGCTGGATTGTTTTGTGGCCTTGAGCAATTGGGGCTGTTTCTGTACGGTTGGACGTAGTTCAGTACATTTTTGGGCTTTGTTAATGCGTACTTCGTCAAATTTCAAGGATTTGGGCTGCAATTGATTGTGTATGACATTTTTCAGCTCGCCAAATGCTTGTTTCTTAACTGTATGCTTGCGAGCCTGATCCATAATATTTTTGGAGGCATGATAAGTGTCTATACAAAAAAAAAAATGATACAAATATTTCATCATTTATCCATAAGGACATTAAAATTAACTTACTCTGATTTTCATTGTTAATTTGGAAATCGATCTTGTAATTCGCCATTTTGTGCGCCAATGAATACAATCTCTAGCTCTGGTAAAACAATCTTAAATATCCCGCTTTCTTCAAAGGCGAAACAACGAATGATGGTCGACAGTATAGGGATAAATAGGTCGACTTTTGACTAATCAAGTAATTTACAAATGATTGATGACACTCATAATGAATTGATAGCTCAACTCATAGACTGTACACACAGCAAAGACAAGAAAAGAATTTCATTTTATTGAATTTTAGACTATTTTTAATATCTATATGATCCTGTTTAATCAATTAAAAATAAATGGCATTGTTTATTCTACATTTTGCTGAATATATTCGAACATTTCTAAGCAATATAAGCAATTCTAAGAAAATAAATTTAGAAAATCCTATATCTAATTATTCTTCCACAAATCATTATTTAAAAAATACGCTCTGATTATCCTTTTTCAAAACTATTATTAAAAAATCTAGGATCTGAGCTACAATCAAATAATGTTATTAATCTCTGAGCATTTCCATCTAATGGTGTTTTTGGCAAAGAAAAATTTGGCAAAGAAAAATTTACTAATGGAAAAGCAAGCGAAAATTTCAAAAGAGAAAACAAAAAATTTGCCAAATAAAAATCTGCCTGTGGAAAAGCGGACTTATAGCCATATAAGTTATTTTTGTCCTTCAAAATAACATTATATATTCATCAGAATCCGAAAATCTTACGTACGTGTTACGCCTATTCCACGTTCGCCTTACAACCACCTTGACACATACAAAAGCTCACCGCTATGAAATCATACACTACACAATGATATCATTGCACAAAAAAGAAGAAGCACAACGTTGACATTTTCTTTTTTGCAATTCTATCGATTTTGCTTAACTCGTGGCGTAAAATTTGGTGATATTTTTGTGTAAAATTAATTAATAACAATAAGGTTTGTCATTAAACTATTATGTAAATTGTTATTTAGCCGCTAATGTGTTTATTTTTATCAAAAAATCTGTATACAGATGCCTGCACCTGACATTAAATCTTCTTGGGCTGATGAGGTTGAGCTAGATTACGGCGGTCTGCCACCAACTACCGAAGTGATTGAGAATGGCTTCAAATACGTCACAGAGTATAAATACAACAAAGATGACAAGAAAACCAAGGTAGTACGCACATATAAAATCACCAAAGAAGTCGTACCCAAGACAGTGGCCAAGCGTCGTACATGGTCAAAATTTGGCGAATCCAAGAACGACAAGCCCGGTCCCAACTCCCAGACCACAATGGTGGCCGAAGAAATCTTTATGCAATTCCTCAACACCAAGGAAGAAGAAAAGGCCAATGATAATCTATTGGATCTGACCAAAAATATTGCCAAATGTCGTATCTGTAACGGTGAGCATTGGTCTGTCAATTGTCCCTACAAGGGTACATCTATGGATACAAATCTGATGGAGAAGAAGGCCTCGGCTGCTGCAGCTGCTGCCACGGAAGCACCCAAACCCGGCAAATATGTACCTCCCTTCCTTAAGGACAGCCAGAAAGGTGGTATGGGTGGTATTCGTGGTCGTGACGATACAGCTGCCATTCGCATTTCCAACTTGTCTGAATCGATGACCGAACAAGATTTGGAAGAACTTATCAAACGTATTGGCCAGCACACCAAAATGTATTTGGCACGCGATAAAAATACCGGCCTCTGCAAAGGTTTCGCCTATGTTCATTTCCGCCAACGTAAAGATGCTGCTGCTGCCATTGAAATTCTTAATGGTCATGGTTATGATCATTTGATTCTTAGTGCTGAATGGTCCAAGCCACAGAATAACTGATATAACATTAAAGATTCCAACAGTACATCTACAGCCACAACTAGTAGCAATAGTTACAGTAAACAAAATTAAAAAAAGGAAAAAGAAACAGCCGAAGGAGGAGAAGAAGTTATTGATTTTTTATATATACACACAATATAACTAATTTATAAAACGACCAATAGGAGAGAAAAATGTTTGATAACAACAGTTTGCTTTTTTCACAATCCGCGGTCGTATTAAATTATGAATATGATAGCATTTTATTAGCTAGGGTTACAATAAAAACTGGTAACCATAAAAAAAACTGACAATTGTGTTTTTCTTGTGGGGGTTATAACATATAGTAGATTGGGTGTTATTTGGATAGAAAATTTGATTCATAATTAAATTGTGAACTTTAAATTTAATAAATTGAAATTAAAGTTCCCAAAATTTCTACCTTATGGGGTTCTACGGCTTTTTTAACAGTTATTATTTGTGTTGATCTCAAATCCAAAAAATTTCGTAATAAGTCTAGATAAAAATCTCAAGGATGGTAGGAAAGATCGGATAAATTCCAGAGTGATCACATTAGAAATTTTCAGTTAAAATATCACAGATTTTAGAATTCCCCCTTATGGGTCATATATTGGGAAGTATGGAAGGCCTGAAGGGCTACTTGAAATGGTATTTTTTATGTTATTGTCCTGTCTCTGATCGAGATTTGTTCTAAGATCTAAACTGATGTCCTAATATCAGCTGTCTTCTATACAAGTCAATCGACATTTTATTGGCTTTTTGAGACTCAGTTAGGTTACTTGGCCTTTTGTTTCTCTTTTAGGTTAAAATTCATTATAGGCTCATTTTATGGTATCCATTCCTCCTGCCAAATTCTAGTACAATTTAAAGCAGATTCAGTTGCCTAACTACTTTTCTATTAAGAAAAAAAAAATGGTTGACTTATCATTGTTGGTAATAGTATATATATATATATATGGGTGCCAGTGGAATTTTGGAAGCCTATATGTTAAGAAATTTGGTTACATTTTTATAATCAGGATTTCAACAGTATCGAATTGATAACCATATTGCCTTAGTTAATTTTAAAAGGAATGGGACAATACATATACCTTAACGGGACTTTGTAGACCCATATCTCAGGAAGAATGGATTATCGTTTTAATCAGTACCCATTGGAATAAATGTTCTGAAAATTTTAAAATGATAATTTGAATACTATTTTGATATTCTCTTAAATATCCTCATCATAGAATTCCACTTAACCATTACAAGACAATTGTCCATGGTATCTCATTCAGTTGGAAATTAGATTTTTGTAATCAGGACCCCACCCATTCTCGATTTTAATTTTTCAAGATTTTCAATGGGCTTGTAAATCAATACCAATGCTTGTTAAGGTTTGTAACTTTACACATATATAATTGAAGATTTAAAATAGAAGAAAAATAATTTAAAAAATAATTTTGTTATTGTTTTGTTGTTGTTTTTTGTAATTAAAGAAAAGTCCTTATTTTTGATGGCGGGCATGATAACTCTTCACTGGAACATCGGAATCCGAAAATTCCAACGGTGTTAGAAAGAGTACATGTCTGGCTCTCGTATGAACTAGGATTGTTGACTTCGTTTTGAAATTAACAAAATGGCGGACCTTTGAAAAAATATTTTTGGAAAATCGCCGATTTTTGACCAAAAACCAAGTTAAAAATAAGGAAGTTCTTCACCGATTGGCTTTATCCTAGTTCATACAATAGCTATACACTCACAGAGAAACGTGTAAAAATTTGGAATCGATTGGATTATTAGTTTTTGAGTTATATTGCCCGCCATTCGCAAAAGAGAAAAACGCGTTTAAAGTTGGAGAAGCCCTTTTGCCGTCTCTTAATGCTGACACAATAAATCGGCTATATTTTCTTGAGATTTTCACTTGAAATTTTTAGGGACATTCTTGAATTAGTGTAGAATCGAATTAAATAAAAAACCCATATTGCCTTAGTGAATTATATAAAGGAATGGGAAAATACAATGGCCTTAGCGGAAATTTAGAGAACCATATTTCAGGAAGAATGAAATTAAATATCCTCATGATAGAACTCCACTTAACATTTACCAGACAATTGCCCACGGCATATCATTTATTTATAAATTAAATTTTTGTAATCAGGACTTCAACAGCTTCAAATTGATATCCATATTGCCATTGTGAATTTCAAATGGAATCGGAAATTACAATGGCCTTAGCGGAAATTTATAGACCCATATCTCAGGAAGAATTAATTACTGTTTTAATTAGGACAATTTGAAATATACGTGCTGAAGATTTTAAATCAATGCGGCACCAAGCCCTAGTCTTCGCCCTTCTTAAATCTGTATCGGCTATATGGATAAAAAATGTTAGTTATTGATAAGATACTTAAATTAATTTGTAGTTATTATGTTCCATGAGTGCAATTTCGGATACTCTATTAAATATCCTCATGATAGGACTCCACTTTTCCAGACAATTGTCCAGGCAATCCCTTTCAGTCGGAAATTTCCGAAGTCGAAGTTTCCGTTTGACATTTTTTGTTGGGATGTCGAATGAACCCCATTTGTTTAGAATGAACATGCACAGAGGAACATGGAAATCGAGAGCGAGATAGAAATAGAGGAAAGAGCAAGATAAAACATACCTCTAGGTGGGTTCACATCGTCATCGGACATCGCAACTGCTGTTTGAAAATTCGTTAGTCGTTTTTTGTATTTCGTTCGTGGAGGTTGTGCGTTAATGTGCGAAGGCAGCAATACTGTGTCGAGTTTTCCGGTTGAAAACGTTAAACCAAGAAAAACAAAAACAAAGTAGAAGAAAACAAAATAAGAAATAATAAATATTTAAGAAATTATTTTAAAAAGTGCATGTTTTGTTGTGAAGAAAAACAAAAAACTAAAGAAAAATCCAATTGGAAGTGTCGTTTTTGTGTTGTGGGCTGCCTGCCGGTTTATGGGCCTTAATCGTAAGAAAACAACAACAACAAAAGAAGAGATTGAAAACCGTATAATTTTTTTATATTTTAATTCAAATTGCATACACACTGAAATTTATGCAGACGATTTTTTTCTTCTGCTCTATACGTGTGTATATATGTGTAAGTGTTTGTGTATAGATTTTAATGCATAATGGATCTGTGATTATGGGGGGATCCAACCATCCATCGTCTATGAACGGACTTGCTGCAAGTGCGTGAGAGAGTAGAGCAACAACAACAAACAAGTGGGGAGCAAATTGCGTATAAATGTGTGTGCATTCGTTGTCGCCGTCGTCGTTTTATTAAAACACCGAACAACCAACAAAAAAATACCCAAGAATCAAAGGGAAAAAGAAAAACAAATCTAAAAGCCACAACAACAAAAATAAACAAAAAAGTTATCAATGAAAATAATAAAACAAAAAAACGAGAAATAATAATAAAATGAAAAACGAAATAAATAAATAAATGTGTGTGGTGTGGTTGACAAGAAGAAGAAACAAAAGAAAAACAAATCCAATTGAACACGATACGTTTTGTCCGTTGGTTTATGCCCTGCGTGGAATGTTAGCTCCAACAACAACAACACAACACCAACATATTATGATAGAGAGATATGCAAGTGGGGGGAGAGAGCAGAGCAGATAAAACACCTCCATCCAAGTGACAAGTAACTTAACAGAAAAATAAAAACAACAACATTAATGACATTACAACTTACAGAATGAACTGTGACAACGTCGACGACAGACCAGCTGATTGAGTTGTGTTGTGTTTTTATTATTGTTTTATATTAAATTATTCTCGAAATAATCTTTAAAATTAATCTCTGAATATGCAAATTTAATAAAGAACAAGAAAAAAAAACAATAATAAAAGACCGGTAGTGTGTGAGAATTTTTGTCGTCGTATTTTAAACATGGATTAATCTTTCAATGCATAAAACGAAACAAAAGTTTGATAATCGAGTTTGAAAACAGTGTCGTTGTTTTTTTTAATGATATTTTTTGAAACCAAAACAATAGTAATATTTAACTGAAATTTGGTTGATAGACTTTAAAAAGGATTTTTAAATAAAGTGGAGTTTTAAGAACATAAATATAATTTTAACAGAAAATTATTGGTCTTTTCTACTGATTTTTACTATTTTTTTGATATCATTGCAGAATTCTTTTTGAAACAGATATATTATAAATGCAGCTGCAGCTATTTATTAATTTTAATTCAAAACAGTTTACAACAAAACCTATTCTGAAGGATATGAAAATTAGTTAACATTGGCGCCCAATTTAAATTTTCTTGAAAAAAAAAATTGTCTAGGTTAATTTTTGGCGCCCAATTGCAATTTTTATTTACAACAATTACCAAATATGGTCCTAGAGAATTTCGAACACATTTTTCTGTAGCTTTTTATCAATTTTAATATTAAGAAATATCAGAACATGGGGTGAAAATCGGCAAAAAACAATTCTGACAGGTATAAAAATTAGTCTATGTTAACATTGGTGCCCAAATGCAATTTCCATGCAAAAAAGTCATAAAGACCCTTATTTTGAATATTAACAACGTATGTCTGCAGTTTTGAATCAGTGTTAATAAATTGTAATATATAAATTTGCCGAATAAGGCCCTAGAGAAATTCGAAAACCTAATTCTGTAGCCTTTTATCAATTTTAATGAATTTTAATATAAAGATATCGCAGGCCTAGGGTATATTTTTACAAAAAAAAAAAAAAAAAAAAAAAAAAAAAAATCTGGCGCCCAATTGCAAATTACCAAAAAATCTCTTATCTGCATTTTGGAATTAATCTTAATGTATTTTAATATGAAGATATCAAAGGGAGTCATGGAGGGTATTTCGCTTTAAAAAATTTGGCGCCCAATTGCAATTGTTACTTGTAAAAATGACTAAATAATATTCCTTTTATTTTTTTTATCACAAAATATAAGTGAAATTTTATTTCAGATAAAATTTTTATCTTCCCTTCCAGAACATTTGACCAAATGCATTTAATCTTCTAAACAAAACC